CATTAGCACCTCTAGTAATATATTTACTGAGAAAAATGGTGACGTGTTCAATACTTATTTTACCCGCTGTATCTCATCACTTTAATTTATAAAAAAATACAATGTTCACTAAAATCTTCTTTTATTCTTCTAATGTTATTTTAGCGTTTTTGCTTATTTCAGCTCCATGAAAAAGGAATTCTGTCATTCATGTAATTTTAAACTGTCCAGCTGGGGGCACTGTTACACTTCCTGATAGTTTATCAGAGAAAACTGAGTTTTAATGCTTATTTTGCTCTTTTTTAAATAAAGTCTGTTTCGTGTGCTGCAGCTGATGATTGTGATGATGAAGAACAGATGATTTTAATGTTTAGTTTGAGGTGGATGTATTGGAGAATCTGCAGCTCCTTGTTTGGTCCAAACATCTCAAACTGTTTATGTGACTCTCAGTGGAAACTATCTGCTGCTGCTTCACCTCAGCCCCAAATAAAGAGCTGCAGACGCTCAACGATCTGATCCACTGAGACTAAACCTGAGCCTGTTCTGCTGCTTTAACCAGTGCAGGACAAACTGACTGGAAACAACAAACCAAAACAGGAAAAATAAACTTTAACAGGAAACAGTTAACTCCAAACAGGAAACGGTTAACTCCAAACAGGAAGCAATTAACTCCAAACAGGAAACAATTAACCCAAAGAGGAAACAAATAACTCCAAATAGTAAAAAAATGTAATCAAACAGGAACCAATGAACTCCAAACAGGAAGCAATTAAACCAAACAGGAAACAATTAACCCCGAACATGAAACCGATCTAAAAAAAGATTCAAAACCAGAAAACAAAGTGAACATCTGTCTTAATCTTTACAGAACTAACAGGTGGAATAGCAAATAGAAAACAGGTGAGACAGGAAAAGAAGAAGCTGACTTTTCAAAATAAAACAGGAATTACACCAGACTTAAATACTGGAAACAAAATAAAAGCCCAAAAAGAAAACACTACGTGGTCCTGAAGACACACCTGAACCAAAACTGTCTCTGCAGCCAGTCCTTTTAAAGACCTCCCACTTTAGCCCCGCCCCTACCATCCTAGTGCTCCCAGCAACCAATGAGCTCTCACCTGATGGTCTGACGTGACGCTGGTCTCTGTGCAGGTAACCCTCAGCAGCTGTCAGGTGTGCTCAGGTACCACCTGGGGCAGAGCATGCTGGTCAGCGGGGGGGTCAGCGCTCACACCCGCCTGAACCCTCTGGAGGGAGAGAAGCTGGAGCTGGGCGTGGTCAGTGCTCAGGACTCTCTTCTGATTGGTTCAAACCTGCTCTGATGTTCAGTAACCTGACAGATTGTGTCGTTTCTCTCTCTGCGTCAGCGGAACTTCACCCTCTACGTCAACAAGGTGCCCGTGGTCGACGCCGACCTGATGGCGACGAACGGAGTCGTTCACGCCGTCAACAGCTTCATCAAACCTCAGTGTGAGTCTCACACACACACACACACACACACACACACACACACACACACACACACACACACAC